AATTTGTTAGTATTCTCCATACGAGCTGCAACGATTCGTCGCGATGCGACATGCATTTTGCACCGTTTTTAGAGAATATATCCTTGCTAAAATCGGAACGCACTTGTATTAAAAGGTACATACCAGATATTAAAGTACATTTTGCTTTGTCAAAAAGTATTTCAAAAGTACACGGGTATGCATCTTTAATGTAAATGTAGCTTTATATCACATATTCTATATCTCTGGGCAATGTAAGCGGGAAGATACTTAAAGTGCAAACCAAATAAATACGGAAATGCCGCTTTAATATCGTACCATTTCAAATGTCGAATGGTTAACTGTATGGACGTTATCTCTTGACCTTTTGTACACAGCTTGCCCTTCTTTTACTTAATGTTATTAACCAAATTCATATAATTATAATCAGATATCATTTTTTTTTCTAATATTTCGTCTCCATTGAAATCTAACAAGTTTTCTACCACATTCTAGTTCTTAACAGATTCTTCTAGATTTTTAACAAATCAAAGCATTTCACGTAAGACCCGTTTTTTTTATAAGAATGACGAAGCATCAAAATATTCCACACGTCAAAATAAACTACATGTCAAAATATAATGTCAAAATAAGCCACGTCAAATTCAGCCACAAGTCAAAATATTCCACACGTCAAAATAAACCGCATGTCATAATATAATGTCAAAATAAGCCATCAAATAGGCTACGTATCAAAACAGACCTTTGTCAAAACAAGCCACGTCAAATTCAGCCACAAGTCAAAATATTCCACACGTCAAAATAAACCGCATGTCATAATATAATGTCAAAATAAGCCATCAAATAGGCTACGTATCAAAACAGACCTTTGTCAAAATAAGCCACGTCAATTTCAGCCACAAGTCAAAATATTCCACACGTCAAAATAAACTACATGTCATAATATAATGTCAAAATAAGCCATCAAATAGGCTACGTATCAAAACAGACCTTTGTCAAAATAAGCCACGTCAATTTCAACCACAAGTCAAAATATTCCACATGATCTAAAAAGGTAAAGGTTTTTCATCTTGAATCACAAAACTAAACTGGTGCATAAACTGGATTTAACAAAAACAAAAAACATTTTATTTCTATCTATCACAGTGTAGTTTTATATCAAAACCAAACCCTTAAACAAAACATGTTTACGAAAGAAACGAGAAGGACGTAAAACTCCATTCCATGTCAGGAGTTCACTGCTTCATATCAACCCAAGTTTTATTTATCCTTCTAGAAAAAATCGCAGACGACTTTACACTGGTTGGAACTGGTAAAAGTGGGTTGAATCTGCTTTGTTTACCCATTACCCGAATTATGGTAGAACCATTAGCGAGTTCTACTCAACATCATTCATTAGCTATATTCCGTACCTCAAGTCTCAAGGTTAAAAATACGAGATTATTTCTCGTCAATGAAGTGTGATGTAACTCAAGTTAAGTCAGTGGCAATGGCCGTGTTGTTAGTCGTAACAGTCCTTCACGTGAAACTTGATTAACTTTGTATTTTGGTGGGTATTGCTGGCAGTATATACTGCATGTACTATTACATTTTCAGAATATTATCCCACGACCAATGCTTTTAATCTAACCATAGCTCACAGTGGCCAATGAAGCCATTGGTGGGCCTATTTCCACAATCAAACAATCTTCGGAGGCAAGCCACAAGCCACATCCACCCACAGATCAAGATAACCTCCTTGACCAACAATTCTAAATATAACCCTTTTTCTTTTTCAGGAAGAGCAAAACTTTGATCAGGATGTCTTTCTGTTCAACCAAACTTCTACGACCTTTGTCAACCTTAATGAAAGCGGCAGAAGTAGGCCTACCAATTTTTAAAAGACGAATTCCCGCCATTTCCACAAAATGCAGCTTGTGGGACGCTTCAACCAGTGTTACGTCATCTACCAACAGAACGTTTCACACTACCAGCGTAGCTGCTCTTAATCAACCGTTACACCCCGAAACTCTACCACGACCAGGAGGAATCGCAACCATGATGCGTCTGCCGTACCAAACTAAAGCGGACGGTCTTGATGCATGCTTTGTCGGAGTACCATTAGATATCGGAACAGGCTACAAATCCGGAACCCGGTTGGGTCCACGTCACATCCGGATTGAATCCGTTGTTCTCCGGGCGTTTAACTGCAGTACAGGCGCGGCTCCGTTCGATTCGTTACAAGTAGCTGATATAGGCGACTTAAAGTTGTCCATGTACAATATCGAAGAAGCCGTAGTGGATATCGAACGTCAAATACAAGTGATCGTTGATACCGGCTGTATACCGCTCATCATGGGCGGAGATCATACCATCACGTATCCGATTCTTAAAGCGATCAAAAACAAGCATGGTCCGGTCGGATTGGTAATGGTGGACGCTCATCCAGACACTTCCGATTCCATAGATGGACACAAAATAGTTCATTCGACACCAATCCGTCGTGCGTTAGAGGACGGATGCTTGATTCCTAACAAAGTAGTGCAAATCGGTCTCCGCGGAGGTGGATATTCGCCTGACAACTTCCTGTGGGGCAAACGTCAGGGATTTAAAGTAGTACGCGCGGAAGAATGTTGGCACAAGTCCCTACAACCCCTGATGGAAGAAGTTCGCGAACTCATGGGAGATTCCCCTGTCTATTTCACCTTTGACATCGATGGCCTTGACCCCGCAGTTGCCCCTGGCACCGGAGTCTTGGAACATGGCGGATTAACAGCAGTTCAAGGTCTGGAAATTGTCCGAGGTTGCAAGGGTATGAATTTAGTCGGCGCAGACGTGACAGAAATTTACCCACAATACGATCAATGCGGTCGCACGTGTCATCTCGGCGCTGATCTACTTTACGAAATGTTGTGCGTTCTTCCCGGCGTTGAGTACCACGATTTGTAAACCGTGGTTCCCGTATTTTTGATTGAAATAATATTATGCATTATGGCACGGGTTATTTGGTATATACCTATCCCCCTGGGCCAACTCATCCATTCATAATCTACCTACAATGGATACAAGAAAACTAGTCGGATCTGTAGACTAGTGACGCAATGAGAATTGACTATGCGTCTATATATATATACATATATGCCAAAGCATAAAAATGAGATGGGTGCAGGAATCGAACGCACCCTTAATCATTATATAATTCCGATGTGTATTTTGTACTTCATCTGAATAAAACAGTTCCAGATTGTTCGCTTCCTTTATTTTTTATGGGTAACTTCAACTTCACCCATTCGCGATCTGACAACCATCTTCTTCAAGACACGGCGTTTCTTGTCTTTTCTTTCCATATGTAAAGAATATCAAGAAATAAGAAGATGGTGGTGGCGGGGATCCAACTTGAACCCCTTCCCCCTAGAAATGCCATTGTTGTTGGAAATCGAAATAGAAAGGGGGAAATGCAGTACAACATGTTCATTAGATTCAATTAACCCCCTATGCCCGACTCCGCCAAACGAATTGATCATTTTGAACAGTGTTACATAAATCACAAATCATAGGGTTAATCTCCATAGATTTATTGCTATATTGATTTTTCTGTATCGATCTGTCTTGTTCGCTTTGTCCTAGATCTAATAATCGACAAGAGCCAAGATTTTGACTTCCTGTATCGCATCAATATCGCCAGAGATTGACTTACAAGAAACAGAGTTTTACGTCTTACTTTTTTCTGCTTCTGAGATGAGTAACACTATGCGATGTGCAATAAGGGAAAAGACTCTTTAAGTACACAAGCTATTGCACCAACGTTTCGATATGCAAACTGTGTAGGTTAACGCCATGGTCCCAGAAAGATGTCCCTCATTGCCAACTGCATGGCATTTGTCCAATTAGAACTCCACTACATTATCATAGGCAATTATTTTTCCAAATGAGTAAACTTTAAGATTTGTAACACAAGCCCAGGGGGTTAACGTTATACAATCACCTTTCTCTATATAGATAGGGGTTAAAGGGCCGAAACACTTTGCCATCGTTTCTTCAACATGTTTAAAAACTATTACACTTTTTTACCATGTTTCACTTTAGCAGGTAAACCTCATATAATGTATTAAGATTAACAAATATTATGATATCACGCGATGTCCAAACCGTCCTATCAACACACATGCACGTAGCTTTGTTTTGTAAATATGCACACACAAGAAATTTGTGAATACTAAATTAGAACTCCTCTCATATGAAAATTCACATGAAGCTATTTGGGTAAAGTGAACCACAAGCTTATCTCTGTATCCTATTTCAAATCTGACACTGTCTCTTTAAATGACAATCCCACATTTAATGACCATAAAAGACGCAGCCTAATTAAAAGACTTGATGATATAAAAACATGAATATAAACTAAGATTTGGTTATTCATTCAACGACTTGGTGTTAAGTATCTTGTCTTGAAAATGTCAACAGTGCTGAAGCAAAACAACGATGTTTACAGTCAAAATTGAATGACAAAATTGTTCTTTCGCATTCATTCGCAGATTTGATGAGTAAAGCCAAAAGTGTACGACGAATGGATTCATCAGCCGATTGGTAGGTATTAAATTTTCTCGATGATGGTTAAAAAACATGACACAAACGTGAAAACATTGGATGCGTTATTGCCGTTGTTAGCTGTTAGCTGGTAAGAGTTTTGTTGTTGTTGGCTGATGTTGTGTTGTTGTTGCAGTTGTAAACTGGTAGTAATTGTGTATTGGTGTCTGTGTTGTTGTCTATTAGATGTTAAATAATCGAAACAATCAGTATTATCATTTCTCTAAGAATGATAACCTTTTTAAAGAAGGCGATCGTGTTGTTGGTATTGGTGGTAACGCTGTTGCTAATGCTGTTTTTATATAGGAGGTGGTTTACCCTTTGATGTAGTTATCATATATGGATGTGTTGTTGTTATTGATGGTAACACTGTTGCTTGTGTATTTTATTGTATAGGAGGTGGCTTTGCTGTTGTTGCAGTTGTCTTTGATGTGGCCGCGGGCGATTTTGTTGTTGCTGGTTAATTCTAATACACTTTTGTTTCTTAGTTGTTGATATTTCGATGCTGCTGCAGTGTTAATATCTGTTTTCCTCCTGTTATTATTGTTATTTTGTTATTGTTTTGTTATGATTGTTGATGTTTTGATAACAGTCTATTCCTGACTCAAGGTGATTCAATATTGTTATATGATGAAGTAATGGCTTAACACTGATGAGTTAAATGCTATTTATTTAAGTTGGGGTCCCACCTGGAGTGTCTATAGACTATACATCGTGTGTATACAGGCCTCTCATATTACTCGCTGGTAATTAGACGTTTATTTGATATCCGTTAACCCTTCGTCTTTCAAATAAACACAAAGCTAACAAGTTAATAAATATCAGATACGGTGGTCCAAAAAGATTGACTGTGAATCGTTTTGTTTTGAATGAAGTTTGTGTACGAATTTAAGTGCCCTTATATTTTGGAATATTAATAATAAAAGCACGGTCAAAACTGAATTATCGCGACAAAAAAACACCTAGCCGTGTACAAAGGGAGAAAGCAATTACAGACAATTTTTGTAAAAAACACATATCGAACGGGAAAACGGAAGTTATGCACACACAGTTTAGAAAACTGCTTTTGAGTTCCGTAGTAGCATATACGTACAATTACGATTTGTGATTTTTTTGGAACCACCCAATCTTTAATGAATAATATTATAACCCAATTGCATTATTTTTTATTTTTAAATAGAACGAAGCCTTACAAGGTTAAATTAACTACAAAAACTTAGTGATAACTCATAATATTGGTATAACATTATTATAAATACATAGAGCCTAATGAACGAGTGGTGGTGGTCTGAAGGGTTGGAGAGTGATAGTACATTGTGATAGCAAATAGTTGTGATAAATGTGATAAGAATTGTGATAAATGGCACTGTAATACGTGAAATTACGTTGACGGTATGAGGCCACAAAGCAGTAGGAAAATATAGCAATTGTAAATAGTATATGCCGGATACAAGAAATGTTATTGTGATAAAATTTGTGATAAATCTATGGGAATTGTGAGTAATATAATTCGTGTAGCTGTATGTGATAAGAATTAAGATTCGTGATATCATTGTAATAATATATTGTAATGGAGTCGTCAATACGGTGATAGTCCAGAAAGTTGTGATAACCTTAATATGATAAAAAAAAATCTTTGTAATAAGAGAAAGGACAATACTATATCGTGATAATACAGAAATAAATATTGTGATATCCGGGGATTGTGATAGTGTCAACTATTGTGATAGCTTAGAGGAGGTTTGACGGTAATGGTATAACAAACATTTAAAATATTGTGATACATAGAAATTGTGATAGTGATAACCAGGAAAATGTTGACGTTTTCGTGATTATTCAGATGACATATTGTGATATCCAGATAAAGAAATACTACAAAAATAATCACAATTGATTACTCACAAACATAGAACAGGCTACATATCGTGATAATCAGAAATTGTGATAGTTTTCGTGATAACCATAAATAATGTCGACAGTGATCGGATTAGAAGATTTAATCCAGCATATAAATATTGTGTACCCAAACAGAGTGAGTATGAAAATCAATCCATTTGACTTCTTAGCTATGAAATTCAAACCTCGGGCTAATCTAATAATAATTCATTGATTTCTCAAGGGTGTTACGAGTCTGCTCGTATTTCAACCCTTAATAACAAAGTTCACATTCAGAATGGTCAGCATAAAGCATGACAACCTTTGATGCTATGGGGCCAATAGAACACAGTAAAATGATAAATTCTGTCAGATCTGGTTTTTTGTTGAACTTTGACCCAATAGCATCAAATTTGTATCATTATTGAAAATATCCCTATTTTACAGCTAGAGAGACTCAGCGACGAGAGTTCAGAAGAATGTCCAAACCATGATGGTATGACATCACTTTCCAGAAGTCAGGTGATGCCATTGAATTTGACCGACATCAAAAAAGAACAAAGACGATTGGCTGCTTTAATGGATATCAAATCACGTGATCCTCTTTTTGGGGTAAGTTTTTTTTGAATGAGTTTCATGCCCGACAATGCTACTGAAATTTTGCCTGGACAGCGGATCAACGATCACGACTTTAGTCTGTGTACATCGTCTTATGGACAAAAGTGGTGGGCATTCAGTCTTTTAGGGTCCCATACTGAAAGCTCCAGTCTTGGTCACTCTTTGGACAATGGTTGTTTTATGTCTTGGTGTCTTTCAGGTGCCAAAGCCTCAGGTTCGCCAGGTTCATCCAGCTCCAAAGAAAAGATGCATCATCTGCAGCTTGCCGAAAGTGGACCGCAAATCGTTCAGCAGAGGAAGTTTTGGACCATGGGCGGGAATAGCGATACCTCGGATCCCAGAAACTGAGATCTATAATGTTGACGATACTGAAGATGACAGAAATCCAGATGGTTGTCAACACCGATATTCGGATGGAGCGGAGCTATTCGGGAACTACTCATCGAACTCTTTCCAATTGCCGACCTTAGAGGCGGAGATCATTTTGGACGAGACGTCGATGCGTCTTACGAAGGACAGATTCAAGCTGCCTCCCATCTTTGACGCTTCTTCGAGTTCTCCTGATCGCGGGCAGCTGCTCGCCTTATCCAGTGACAAGACGTTCTTCAATACGACACCCAGGGGAATTAACTATGATACGTATAGCGGAGCCTTCAGTGGATCCACACGTTCGTCTTTCTTGTCAAGGATCCAGGAATCCGCAACTCCCCTTCAAAGTCGAACGGAACGACGTCAACCCGTCAGGCGTAACACTATCTCTGAGAGTGACTTACCTACGAGGGGCTTTACCGACGAGAAACGGAGCAGAGATCGACGGAGGCGAGTCAGTACCCAGTCCATGGAGAGTGTAGATATTCCAAGTTCAGCTACGTTGCGGTACCATCACCGTCAGCCAAGCGATTTACTTCCGGTTCCGCTTAACACACCGGACACGCAGCTCTCAGAGCAGAACTATAATGACTTTACCTACTCTAAAAGAGAGCTCACTTTCGAATTCGTCCGAGATGGATCGTCTGTTTATTCAAGGGACACAACTCAAATAGAGACACCAGACGACGTTTGGTCTCGAGTTCAGTCGGCATCCTGGTGTAAATGTTCTAACGTGGACTTTTCAAAGACGAGGTGCTCCGAATGTTTGAAAATCGGTGGACATCAACGTTGGTGCATTTCAAAGCTTGGGTTGTGTCCGGCTTGTGGTAAGGTGGTGAAGACGTCGATGAGTGTCGTTGGAGAGCGGCGTGTCAGCAGATCACCTACGTTTACATTTACCAGGGAGCGATCTAATCGGTCGCCGCCTTTCAGTCCGCGGAGAGAAGCGATGGATCACGGAGCAGATACTACTTCCGGTCCGCATCACGCTGCAAGGTCCAAACCACCGAGTGCGGAACTGAAGGTTCGATTTTCCGGCACTGACCAAGTTCGACCGATCTCGCCACTCGAGTCTAGAACATTTGAAGTAGAAAATGAAGATGAAGATGATGATGCGGACACGCAGGCAGTGGTTATGGAAGAAAGCCTCGCACATAACCCGAAATCCAAAAGACAAAAACCTAAACCATCACCACGACCATCTCATCCGCCAGACATCCACAAACATGCTTACGAACTAGCTCTATCGGACTCTCGCGTTCTCAAACACAAAAAGGAAAAAGATTTTGAAAAGACTTTCACTAATTCTTTGACCAATTCCCTATTTTCGTACTTTCCAAAATGGCGGCGTCCACAGTCAAAATCTATCCCACCGGAAGCTATCGGGTTAAGAGATCCGGACAAACAAAATGGCGGTAAAATTAAAGTGAAAAAGGGAATGAAACACATTTTGGGGAAAATTAAAATTGAGGACTATTATGGAAGAGGCAAGAAGTCGAAATGAAAATAAATTTTTAGATATCTTTTTTGTTGTTTGTTGAAATTTTTAGGAAGAGTCTTTCTCAACATTTTGTCCGGTTAAATTAGATGTCATTAGGTTAGGTCAAAAGGTTATTTTGACGAATGTTCAAGAGTCCAGTCGTTAGACCCTACTCTGAAGTGGTTATACTAAAAATAAAATGTAATAAAAAAGACGAAACGAAAGTTAATTTTAATTAATAAGTAGAAATTTGTAAAGAACACACACAAAAAGTGCAGACCACTAGCATGTGAATAATGTTTCATCACCTAGAGTCAATTAGAGTTCGCTGTATATTTTGATTTTGATAAGATAACACGGTTCTTAAGTTTAAATCAACAATGCCGTAAACTTTTGACTTGTAGAAATAGAAATATGTAGCCTATCTTTAAAAGGGATACGGTCGTAGAAATATTCGCTTAACCAAGTGTTTTATGGACTGAATTTAAGGCATCTGTATCACTTAAAAACATTCTTCAAATCTGACGACGGGTTCTTGTACAATAAAATCATCCATCAAAATGACGACTAAATTAAGAGTTTTTGAAATTCGAAAATTCTTCCATGACGTCGTTATGAAGCCATCCGTAATTACGCTTTCGCGTCCACATTGTATATTCATTCAATTGTATCGGTTGCAGTATTTTAAGTCTATTACGGATACGGATCCGGATAACTAGATAGAACTCTATCAGCCGATAACAGAAGGATTTGTCGACTAGATACCTTCAAAACTGCACTAAGAGAAAGGGTAAGAAAGATTGAATACAGACTTAAGAAGTCGTCTATCATCATCCGAGTAAATACAGATCTGGGTGTATGCAATATATTGAAAACATATCTTACATCCTAAAAAAAGGGTGGGGGAGGAGGTTGTTGTCGATTTGAGCAACCGGATTCTTCGACCAGCTGTCGCAAATGCTTGCGTATACTCGATAGAATACTAGTGCAAAGAATAATAGGCAGATGGTTCAAAGGTTAGACAATGAAAAGACTCATAAACTCGTAGACCACGATGCGGATCACCATGAAGTATACACCAGTCAGCATATATTTATGCAAATGAAGGCGAAGAAATCTCAGTAGCAGACGACAAAACAAAACCCACGTGATTCCTAAAAAAAAAATGGGTGTTCTTGAAATAACCAATCGCCGTTGAAAATCATTAGATATATTTTTCTTAAAAGATAGCAGGGGGGAAATATTTTAGAGGGTGGTCCACGCGATATTTTTCTGAATTGTGCGTCTTAGTGCAGTGTACTTATAATATTTCTAGTGATATAAACCGGTTTGCAATGGCAAAAGGCATGATAGGAACTCTAACGCTCTTGGTCCTCTTTGCGCCATTCGAGCACTTGGCCAAAGAAAGTCCAAACAGAAAGGTCGAAGTCCAAAGAAGTTTTCTTGAAGATACTTTGCCTCAGAATTTCTTTGACGGGGCTAAGAAACAAAGATCTGAGGGATCAATAGAAGATAAGGAGGCTCTGAAAACACCAATAAGTGCAAATCCCAGCAGAAACGGCAAGAAAATGAGAAGCAATCCGGCGGATCACGGTGCAAAACAGCTACCACGAAAGGTCAGAAAAGAGGGACAAAATGGCCCCCGAAGTGTCGGCAAGAAGATCACAGATAGACAAAAAGCTCCTCCAAACTTGTCTGAAAAGCACATAGCTACCAATCTACAGGCCTTTAAAACGTTTATGAGGATTAAACTTGAACTGGAAGGTGTTAAAGAAGAAGACATCCCTCGTCACTTTAAACTACCACCTCTCTTGGATCTGGAGGGAACTCAAGCTGATGATGGAAGACCTGTATCCCTGGATGGATTCCATGCTAAACCTAATACAGCTTATGTTTGGGCCACGGACGGTAAGTCTCTCATCTTTTCTCAATTTTTTTTATCAAATTAGTTCATAATTTTGATTTGAATTTATTTAATTTACGTTTAATAAATTATAAAATTGTATTTAAATTACTAAATTTTGTATTTAAATTACTAAATTTTTTGTATTTAGATTACTAAATTTTGTATTTAAATTACTAAATTTTGTATTTTAATTACTAAATATTGTATTTAAATTACTAAATTACTAAATTTTGTATTTTAATTACTAAATTTTCTTACTAAATTGTATTTAATTTACTAAATTGCATGCATCACATGAATATAAAATTTAAAAAACTTCATTTGATTTATTTCCAGTGATCGCCAACTGCTCTGATACCTTCGACTACGCATGCCTGGGATTTGAATCCTTAAACCACTTGTCAGAAAAGGCCTTTATCAAATCAGCGAAACTCTGGCTTCGCGGAGTCTCAAAATCCAAGATCAAGCTAAAATTGTACAGTTTGAAGAAAACCAAATCCACCAAAAACACGAATACCAAAATCTTGGGGAAAAAGCATTTCCTGACACATTTTAGCCTAAGCGAGAGTCGGATGGGTTTGGATGTGACGAAAGTCGTCAAAAAATGGATAGACAAGCCGAAATACAACCATGGACTAGGTTTGGTAGTCAAGATCAAAGGTGACCAAGCCCTTGTGCATAATCACCCAGACTTATTCAAGAGCAAGGACTATACGTAAGTAAAATTTTGTGACCAGGGGACAATAACTTAAAGGGATATGCCCGTTTCTTTGATTGGCTGATGGAGCTCGGTTTTTTACCCGTATCGCTTCTCAACTTCTTATTCTTATAGATTGAAAAAAAAAAAAAAAAAAAAACAATAATAATAAAATAACTAAAAAAAACTAGGTACACCATTCAGAAATCCGTTTTATTTCCAGACCCTTCTTGGAGCTTACTTTATTTCCAATTCCAAAGACAGATAGGAATCCAGCCTGTACATCAAATGAAAGTAGATGCTGCCGAAATGTGGTGAAAATTAAAGCTCAAGATATATTTCCTCAGATTATCGCCCCTGACGAATTTGAACTGACGTTTTGCTCTGGCTCATGCGACGGTAAGTCACCTTTTTCTTATAGTATTAAACGGGGGTTGGGGGTTATAATAATATCTAAAGGGTGGTGCGATAGTGACGTCATCAAACGTTTGGTTTAAGGCTGAATTGCAAGAACCACAGATGTCTGATTAAAAATGGGAATGGTGCAAATCGTTGCCTCATACACGCAAAAAACCACAATTTATTTACAATATTGGTTTATTTTTTCGTTGCAGATCCCATGATTTCCCCTGTCAACAATTATACCCGTATGATTCAAAGTTTCCGATGGCGCACAGGCGACGAACTACTGCGCAATGCCATACACTTCTGTTGTGCGCCGATTGCGTTCAGAGCGCAATCCATCCTACTATACAAGGCTGGTAACATTATCAAATATGATATACCCGATTTGATACCCACTGCATGTGGATGCATTTAATTCAAATTTCGTTTCATTTTCTACTATGGGTTACTTCACTTATTCAAAATTTGATAACGTCCTTTAAAATTCAAATAACAACCGAAGTCATTCATGAAGTATGAACGAAATATATTTTTTCAATCACATTGTACCATTTGTCATTACTTTTGTAATTGTTCGCATTAAATTTTGCTCTTTGATTTGTCTACTCTTTCTTGATTGATTTTGATTGACATTGCAGTACATATATTCATGACAGATTTTTGTCGAGGGATATTTTACGATACACTACCTGTAGAATAAACCTTTTTTTAATCAAAGTTCGACCTACCTCCATCGTTGTTTTAACCATAGTAAAAATACAGTTGAAGGGAAGCAACTCTTTCATTGTTGTACAGACCACAGTTAATTTCTCTCATGTTCGTCACTGCAATAGTCTTCATTTCCAAGAACCAAACAAATGTTAACTGCCTACATGTAGACTCTCTGAAAGTATGGGAAATTTTCGGTTATTATATGCTTCAAAAGTACGTCTCGCTAAAAAATAATAGGCCTAAGCATGCTTTTTTAAATAGGATTTTCATGAAAACCTCTTCAGCAGGTTCTCGACGAATAAAACCCACCCCTGGCCCTACCTCTGGCCCTACCCCAGCCTTTTCGGACAGCGTCCATCCCCAAAAATGTGTGGGTAGTCGGTTTGCAGAATGTCACACAAAAAAATAAAGATTATTCCGAAAAGAAATAGAAAACCTACATCAAGCATGTTCAAATAATGGGCATATTGTTTTGATATAGCGTGAACTTTTTTATCTTCTTCACAGAAGATCGTCAAAATATGATTTAAGGGAAACAACATAAATCCAGACCACAATCAATTTCTATATTTTTTTTTACACCAAGCAAGTAAGCTTTTATATGTAAATGATACGTAATTGAACCTGGGTTGCCACTTGATTTTACACCCGAATAGGTGTTTGAAGATGCAGTGTGCAATGAGGGAAATTTTGCGGAGACAACGGCATTAACTAAGCTATTCTAATTTTACTTCCAATCGTCGAAAGGTTTACATTTGATTGTAGGAAAATTATATTTAGGTTGACAAAATGTGGCGAATTTCTTGTGATGTGGGATTTCTGACGTCACCAAACCTTAATTATGTTTTGTTAGAAGATAAGAATTGAAAATACTTAGAAATAACAAATTAAATTGTAACCCATACCAAACTTAGCTGTCCTGATGAGGATTGTGTATCTAAAACATACGTCAGTCAGTAGCGTTAGATGATCTCAAGTTACTTAGATTTGAATCGTGAGTCCTCGTATTGTAGAATATTCCCTTTGTTGATTTCGTGCTCCTGTTCGGTGCTTTTACGACTACGAGCTCAATTGTGAAAGTTAGCCCTTTGTCCAAGTCTAACTGATGAAGGTTGTGTATCCGAAACACGCATCGTTAGCGGGAGATGAGCTCAGATCAATTAAAAGCAATGGGTTCTCCATTCTACTGCCGAAATATTAGCTGGGGGCAAATTAAAGAATTAACTGTAGTCTTAGTCGTCATAAATTAAATTGGATTATTTCCCTTTGACCATAGAATTAATCTGTGCATAGCACGTGCAATTCACGATCCTCCTTTTGCGTTTGTATCCAAAACTCATTTCGACATGAGAGATCATGAGGATATTTTGGGAGATCGAGAGTGAAGATGTTGAACCAAACATTTAAATCATTTTTGGAGAAAATCTAAAATAAATACGGGACATATTAACTGCTAATAAATGGAATTAAATGGTAAAAAATGGCCATTAGTTTACATTGACAACAAAGAGAATTTACGAGACTTTCCGGATGGGTAAGTTTCTTCATTTTGATTTGTAAAATTTAAATTTGTGAGTTGAGGGCCGAGAATTTGTTGAATTTCGGGGGAAAATGGCTCAAAATGGCCGTCATGGCTGAGCGAGCACCTGCTGAGGTCACGAAAGGTCACTTGGCTAATCTTAAACGAACTGGATCATCTGTGTGTGTATTCTTGCGCATTAATCAGCACCGCCCACTCGTTAATCCCAAAATGTCATCGAAATTTTTTTCGTGATATCATTCTTTTTGAATTGAGAATTCGAAATCTTGCCCGCATTTGTGCGAAAATTTCGTCGTTTGGCGTCAAAGTTTTACTACGTCTGGAACTATTTGCCGCGCAAACATAAACAGCGGGTATTTACATGAGTGATGTGGTTGTTAATCCTCTTAGGATATGTGGCTTTAAGTCGAGGCGGCTTGAATGAAGCAAAAATCATCACAAAATACGCGAAAAAATGACTTTTGCTACCTATTTCGGCTGAATTTTCGAATGACAAGTTAGGGACAACTATCTACCATCGTTCCGAAGCCGCCATTCGTGAAGAAAACGTGAAAGTAAGCGATAATCCAGCGTAAAATCGGAGACGAGTCGAGGATGAACGCGACGAAGGCCTTTGTGTATTATCGTGAAAAGTGAATTAATGCCAATTAGGTTTCGAACCCAGAAAAAGGAGGAAAAATGGATTTTTCTGCCGCCATGGAGACTTTTGTGGAAGCGTGGAATGCTGCCAATTCTTCAACACTTGAAAATAAAGCCGAAAATAAGGTGAGTTCTTTAAAAATTTGATGAAATAATCCGCAGCGTGTCGAAGTCAAGTCTAATTAAAAATTGACCCAGATTATCAATCCAAGATGGGGAGGCAGACGTCGTATCAAATTTCTTTCATTTTCGAGTTTTTTCAATTCTTCGGAGGACATGACAATGTTCTGAGAGCTTTTAATATTAGTGCCATCACAATTTAAGAAGAAAAATTTCTGATTAATCCTTGCAATTTTTGTGATTAGGCACTGATCCACTAATTCCATCCAGGCTAATTAATTAATTAAGGATTACTTTGTTTACTAATTAGGCCTGACTTTTTTGTTTGCAAGGAGATGCTTTGATCAAATGATCAAATTTATGTTTTGAAAAAAACATAAAAGAATTTGAGGCTTTAGTGAACAATATTCCATAGGGGCATGTATTGAATTGAGTGCTTAAACCTTTGATTGGAACTGACTGCCAAAGGTGCTGGCCATGGCCATGTTGGCAAAATCTTAGTCAGCATCTCTGACAAATGACACGTGGCCTTGTTTTGTGTCCTAAAGTTATGATTGATAGAAATGGAATGCCAAAGGTACTGACCATGAACATGTTTGTTAACTGACTTAGCATCCTTGATGCAAGACCTTTGTTTATTTACCAATTAATGAGAATAGTTTTCCGAAGGTGCTGGCCATGGATATGTTGACGAATTCAAAGTCAACATCTCGGACGCAAGACCTTTCTTTAATTACTAGTTGCTAGAATAGATTGCCGAAAGTGCTGGCCATGGATATGTTTACAAATTCAAAGTCAACATCTCTGACGCAAGACCTTTGTTTAAGTCCAGTAGTAAAATGAGAAATGTTTTGTGTTAAAGTCATCCTAATTAATGATTAATTAATTTAACACCACTCAACTCTCATTAAGAATAGCCTAATTAACATAGATTCGTTAATATCAGCTAACAGGCTCATATAGTATGTTTTATATTTTTATTGGTGGACCTAATGTCCATTTCCAGTCATGTCTGATTGTCATTCTTGAGTGTCTGGTTGTATTTTTAGTCTGAAGGACAGAATTTGTAAGTAGGCAAGTTAGTTCACTGTAGAGACATAGGATGTAAAACAACAAGTTTACCTCATTGTCCATATTATTAGGTGCTTGTCTTCACAATGAAAATGTGATCAAAAGTGATGGATGTAAAACTCTCTTGTGAGTCTGTGTGTTTTTTTTTTTTTTTAAATTGAAGTAGAAAGGTTTGCCCATCTTCATGGGAGGGATATTACTGAATTTTTCTCCTTGGTATGTGCTTTCGTATATCAATTACAAATTGTTTTAACAATCACTTTACTGGGAAGCAGAAGTCTTTGTCCATCTTCATTAACTCTAACAAGATCAGAAATCTAGGGTGTAAAACTCCATTTCAATTATTCAAAATGGCAATTGATAAGTGAAAAGGTTATAGGCTGTTCAGTTGAAATGCTTGAATGCTACCTACCATTATATTATTTAGTTCTGTTGTTGAAAGACAATCAAGATATTTATCAGAAGTCAATATATTTTCATACATTTTTACAATAGAATTCAAATTATATAGAAATATAGAATTGACTAGAATATTTTTCTGTTGATTACTGAATCATTTCCATTTGACTTTTCATTCATTCATTCATTCAATATTTTGTTGTTGGGGGAGAAGATGTGGGTGGGGATGAGAGTTGAGGGGGATTGGTAATGTAATGTAATATGAAGGCAATGGACAATTTTTGGTTGGTGTTTTTTTTATATCTGAATTCAAACTTTTTAGCATTCATATATTCATTCATTTATTCTTAAATTCATTCATTCATTCATTCATTCATTCATTCATTCATTCATTCATTCATTCATTCATTCATTCATTCATTCATTCATTCATTCATTCATTCATTCATTCATTCATTCATTCATTCATTCATTCATTTTTTTTTTTTGGATGGGGGTGGAGCAGGGTAGTTGGTTAACATTTCACTATTTGAAAACTTAAAATTTACGACTATTTCTCCAAGTTTTATGTTATCTACCGAAATTAAACAATTTATGATAGAGTGTCCACGATGGAAATTCATTCAAAATAACTTTTGTCGGGACCAAATACTCACGATTTTGATGAAATCAACAAGGTTTTAATTGTCTTAATCTTGTTAGGTGATTGATTAGCCTAACGATTTTAGGTGAGATAAGATAAAAACATATGACAAGTACTGTATATTATAATCAAATATCCTCAGGGCATTACAAGGTTTATATACCACAGTTTAGAGGGCAATATCATTCTTATATACCATGGTGACAATAATCAATTGTTTGTTGATATTAAAACAAATACTTATTGTTCTTTCATAAGATATTAGAAGAGACATTCCAAAAGTAACACTTCTGGAATATAGAGCTCTACGTTATGTCAGTGAATAGGGGTTGGCTATTTTGCCCCATAGTCTATTTGAATTCTATTATTATTTTTATCATATTTTTTTAACTGACGGCAATTAGAATTCCTGACCCTTGAAATAATAAAAGTTTTTGTGCCAAATTGACAATCGCGACTTGTTAAGCTAGTCT